CCAAAAGCACATTGTCTGGCTTGATGTCACAGTGAACTATGCATTCTTTGCACTTCTCGTGTAGATATGCCAAGCCTTTGTGCTCCTAATGCAATGTTATATCCCGTTTTCCAGCTAGGGTCTTTGAACAAGTGAGATGCTAATGAACCGTTTGGCATATAGTCATATACTAACAACATCCTAGATTTATCATATGAGGACGCTTTGAGACCAACCATATTGACATGTTGGATTGCACCAAGGGTCCTAACTTCCGCAAGGAATTGCTTGTGCTTGTCAGTGTGGCTGAAGTTGATGACCTCCACCTTCTTAACTACTACAACACTTGAATCAGGCAGTTTACCTTTATAAACAGAACCAAAACCTTCTTCTCCCAACTTCTCCAAGAAATTCCGTGTAGAAATCTTCAACTCTTTGTGGGTAAAAGCCGCTATAGACCCTTCCATGACCTGTCCAAGTTTAGCCTTTCGGTTCGTTCTCCATCTTAAGATTATCATATCCCAATGTAGTGTTTTTTAGATGTTGTTGATGCGGGAGAGAAGAAGTCAAGGACGAAGTTCTGATCAGAGGAGACGATGGCCTGGTTGTCGGAGATAGACGGGTTGAGATTGAGAATTTGTGTAAGAAGAAGAATAGAATTAAGAATCGGCCGAGGCCTTTGAGAGATAGAGATTGAGAAATTAGAGGTCAGGGAGAGAGTAGGGTTTAAGATATACTTTCTAAATGATTGTTCTTGCTTGATTAGAACTCAATACCCAAGTAATTTATAAGGGAAAGATAAGAAAATCTAATAATAAACCTAATTCTACTAAAAACTACTAAACATATTAATAATATCCCTAATGTCGCAACCACCCCTTGTAATCGAGGACCCGTAATGATATGCTCGGAGTCGCCATCGACCTTAGTTGTAGTGGGTCGAACACTATTTGGTACGGTCTCGACCTTAGGGTCAAAACCTGAATTTGGCCTGCGAAATTTTAGAGATTTGGGTTCGGGAGTATGGTTACGTGTGGGGAAGTATATTCACACCCCACAACGCCCCAAGATGGGTACTACTTAAGTCGATAATCATTTAAGGGTTGGCTGTGTTATTAATTGTGATTTGTTTGTGTATTTAGGCGTAATATTCGATTATTTTTAATGTAAATTTTTATAGTCCAATTGGATGATATGATTAGTGTAAATTTTGGATTTAAAGTTCCAGATTTTCATGTCTATTGGCGTAAAAAATGGTTTTAAGATTGGTTGGACTCGAACATATTGGTTGCCTACGTATCCGAGTTAATCGGGATCAAAGTCCACGTAGTTCGATCAAGTTGATTGGTTTTGAAAAGGGTATCGTAACATGTTTCTATTGATACGTGATTAAGATAATAATTGTTTTTTTTATTTAAGAGATGTGATTTGGTATTCATGATTTAAAGGAAGAAAATTTGTTAGTTGGACTCGAATCTATTGGTTGCCTACGTACCCGAGTAGTCGGGATCAAAGTCCACGTAGTTAGTTTTTAAAAATGTGTGATTTGAAGTGTTAATGCTTACACGTAAAATTGTTGATAAAATGTGTTAGCCGGACTCGAACCAATTGGTTGCCTACGTACCCGAGTAGTCGGGATCAAAGTACACGTAGTTTGGTTCAAGTTGATTTAGTTATAACCACATTACGCTGATCGTGGTTAGGAAATAAATGATTTTATTTAGTTTTGAAACATGAAAAAAAAACTTTACGTTTCTGAAAGTAATGGAATTAACCTAACCAAGAGATTATCTCGCGTTTAAAATTTTGTATTAAGAGTGTTTAAAACATAATAAAATAAGGCTAAACACACCCACTTAGCGAATAGCTTGCACGTAGGCCAATTGGTCAACTTGCTAGACTAATTTCACTAGCTAACAGGAGGTAGAAGGTTCGACGCTCACTTGGTACCGAGTTAGGTATAATTTTCTCTTTTAGAAACGCTAGACGACTCAAAACAGCCGCCTCTCACTCTTCCTCTCTGCTTCCTCTCGTTCACTTCTTCGCCGAACTATAAACCATCTGGTTTCTCGCCCCAAACCGCCCTCGCCTCCTCTTCTCCTCGCTCTCCTTTTTCATTACCAGAAAGAAGCCTTATCATCTCCTCTCTAACACAAGAAAATCGACCCCTCCTCTCTCTCCCTCTTTCGACATACGAAAACGAAGAAGGGGAGAAACCCTTCTCCGATCCGCCTCTCTTCTTCCTCATCCTTCTTCCCCTCTCGATTTCTTTCACCTTATCTCCTCTCTGGTTCTCTTCCGCTCTCCTTATACTGCCACCTATTCTACTCCCATCGTCGGCGGTAAATCTGCTAGAATCCGACTTTATCCTACCTCAACTAGGTAAAATCGATACATACAACTCGGTTTTCGGTGTTTGATTTTGTTTTATTGATTTTAATTGGTTTCTGTTTTTGTATTTTTGGGGTTCTGCCCTTGATCGAGGAAAGAAGGATACAACAACAACTGGGAAGGACGCCGGCGACGTCGAAGCGAGAAGGAGTTTGACGGTAAGTCCGACGGATTGTGACTTTCTGTTTTTCCTTGTGTTTAAGATGGAAACTCAGTTTTCGTAATGAGCTTTCAACACCCTATACAAACTAGAAGTTTTTGTGTTTTGATTTACTGCAGCTTAAAGAAAGGATTTTGATTGTTGTGACTATGTGTTCTTGGTTGGTTTATTCATGTGCATGGGTTTGAGGTGATTGTGATGGTTTTTGGTTAAGAATTTGTATGTGTCGAATATGTTTTTGATTGCTTATAAATTTTGATTTTAGATTAATTATGGAGCATACCATATAAAAATAAAGTGGTCAAGACAAGAACATGAAAGAAAACAAATATGTTTTCTGTTTTTATTATGGAAGTGCTAGATAAAAAGATTACATTGAAAGAAGTTTAATTGAGAAGGTGGATGAACCATATGGTTATACTTATACAGTTATTAGTAGATTAGTAAATGTAGAAATAATATACATAACTATGAGTTGGTTGTCTTAACAGAAAGAAAGTCATCTTGAATGAAAATACTTGTATGCTATTAAGTTTATAAACTTCGAATTTAGGAGAAAAATAAGTACAATAATGATGATTGTAGTAAGTAGTTGGATTACAATGATGTTGAGTGTTTGAAAGGAAAAGAGATTCATATATGATCCTCTTAAGATGTTTAGATGGACTTGTAATTTTCTTGGAGGTAACCACTTATAATTTCTTCTTAAAGCTTGTTAAGAAAGGTAGAAGTGAGATGATTATGTATGGCGATGATTGAATCTAAAGATGGTTAAGTTGTTTTCTTACCAACCTTTTGCTTGATGTTTGGGATGGGTTGAAATGCTTTCCTCCAATTTTTTGCTGTTGTCTTGTAATCTTTTTAGCTCTTCTTGTCTTTGCTCTCCTTTTTGTTCTCTTTTAGCTGTGTTTTATTTTTGTTGCTTCGTGAGGAAAGGAAGGGGAGCTCTTTGTTTCCGTTTGTAAAGGGAAATAGTTTTTTATGTTGTTTTTCTTTGTACCAGCCACCAAGAAGAAAGAGTATGGACTATTGAAGCTTCTTTTATTTTGCAGAGTGTTTTCTTTGAAGAGGAGGAGCCTAAGAAGAAACGACAGAAAGAAAGTTTGTCTTTGAGGGGTAGAGGCGTGGGAAGAAGAAGCAGAACTCCCTCTTTTCTCTGTTTTTTTCTACAACTCAGGAGGAGGAGGAAGAAGAAGAAGAAAAGGTGTCTGAATTTTGGTTCTGAGCAGAGGCGTCTCTGTTTTATTGAGGGGAAGGAAGTGTCCCCAAGGAAGCTCCCTGTCCCTCTGTTTTTATAGTAAAATAATGTACTGTAGCGCCAGAATAGAGTAGGTTGGTGTATTTTTCTGATTGGCTGGTGAATGGGCTAGGCCTGGTCTGGTTCGACCAGTCTAGTTAGACCAATGTTAGGCTTGGTCCGAATTTAGTTGGGTCAGTCTGTTGCAATTGGGTTTGGGCCTGACTTGTTGACTGGGCTTGACCAAGATACGAGCCTCATGTGGCTGATTGCGCTTGATTTGCATCTTTTGACTTGGGCAGGTTTGAGTTTAATTGTAAAATTGTAATTACTGATTTTTTTTTATCAAATGGATGCAGCTGCACCCTATCTTTCATTCAAAACCACCTGGGACTCAGAGAGCCCTTGAGCATCAAATGGATGCAGCTGCACCCTATCTTTAATTGTAAAATTCTAATTGTAAAATTGTAATTATTGTTCTAATTATGTAGTTACTTTATCGTAATTGTCTTAAATGAAATTGTTATTTCTTTCTTTATTCTTTGACTATGTATGTGGACCTCGGTCTGGGTTTGACTATGTTAAAAAAAAAATTAGTAATCAAGATCCAACCTCACAATCCCATATGTCAAGCAAATGATCAACTTCTATCACAACCAAAATTGAACACAAGTCTAATTCGTAAAGATTTGCTATTGCTAATCTCAATGCTAATGGGAAACAAAACCCAACTCAAGCACTGCAAATACGATTTCAGTTAGTAGTTTGTTTAAAATTTGCTATTGTTAACTTTAAAAAAAACTAACATTTATTTAATTAAATATGTTTTGTCCGAACAAAAAGCGGTGTCTACACCTAATAATGATGTTTCTATCACGGATTGCCATAGAACGAAGAAAGCTGTTGCGAGGAAGAGAAGCGGGAGATTGATGCAGAGTGTGGCCATGGCGGGAGTGGAAAGAATTCGTGGATGGAAATGAAGGACAAACGTGGGAGGCTTACTAATAGTAAAATGATAGCGTAGGAGAACATGGAAGCAAAGAAAGTTTCCAGCTTGGGAGCATCGATTCATCGCTCTTAATGAAACCTCTACCGTATAACCTAGACTTGTCAACTTTGCAGTTTTCTTCCTTCCTTCCTTTTCTCTTTTTCCAAACCGTCCCACACGCAGGGCAGGAAAAAGAAAATTGATTGTGAGGTATAAATTTAAGACTGGTTTGTTGATGACGTGATGGGACTAGGCTGCATTTTTTTCACTCCAGAAAATTCAAGGGTTAAAAACTTAAAACTCACCCCTGAAGTGTGAGATGGGGTGGCTTCCTGAGTTTATCTGAAGATTATGGGGAATGCCCATTCCTGGTGATATTCAACTTCTACTACAAATCCTTTCTTATAAGATTTACAGAGAGTAATACATAACTATATAGGCACTAATGGGCCTGCTGCTACAACAATGAAGGTTACTGATCGCACTGCAAATAGCAGATGCTTTTAGTGCCTGGCTTTCTATCTCCCAGTTGGCAAGCTCATCGTCAACTGGTTTGAACAATTGACGCGAACTTGATCGCCACTTTCGACAACAACAACAGCTCTTCTAGTGTTGAAGGCCGGTTCTCCTGGCAATGGAAACGACTGAGAATCGCTGCTCGACAACATCTGAGCTACTGAAGACATGGTTGGCCTGTCACCTGGAACTTCTTGCACGCACAAAAGACCCACATGGATGAACTTCACGGCTTCTACATGATTAACGCAGGTATCCTTCACTGCCGGATCAATCAGCCCTTCTGGTTTCCCTTTTTTCCATAGCTCCCATGCCTTCATTCAAAACATGTATACACATACAAAAAAAAAAAAAAAAAAAACTCTTAGCTCTAGGTTCATGGTTGGTGTGATTAGAAAACTAGAAAGGCAAGTATTGTAAAGTACTCACCCAACAGACAAGTGAGAATGGGATTTCAGGATCATAGAAGTCTGTGTTCCTCCTTCCGCTCACTATCTCCAACAGCAACACCCCGTAGCTGAACACGTCTGATTTCTCAGAGAATTGGCCATAGAATGCATATTCCGGAGACATATAACCACTGTATCACAATTTAAATTGTTAGTTTTAGTCTGATCAATCAAATTTTGGCAGGTACTAGATTATAAACAAAAACAAACGGGTAAAAGAATGAGGCAAGCACATACTATGTTCCAACTATACGGTTGGTGTTTGCTTCAGCCTGATCAATACCGAAAATCCTTGCCATTCCAAAGTCTGAAATCTTGGGATTCATTGCTGCATCAAGCAGAACATTGCTTGCCTTCAGATCTCTGTGAATGACCTTCAACCTTGAATACTTATGGATGTATAGTAGTCCTTGAGCTACACCCTCTGCAATCTTTACACGTACTGACCAATCCAGCTTTGCCTTTTCAGATGAACCTGATCAATGGGAAATCATAGTGAAGTTTATCTCAGAACACTTGCTTTCATGCGGGCACCATCAACATCAAGCCAACAGAATGAAGGCGAGAGAGTGACTACCAAAGAGGAACTTGTCCAAGCTCCTATTGGGCATGTACTCGTAAATCAATATCTTCTCATCTCTTTCAACACAGCAGCCCAGGAGCCTAACCAGATAGGTATGCTGCAATTTGGCAATGAGCCTCAACTCATTCATGAACTCCTCTAAACCTTGTCCTGATTTCTTGGAAAGCCTCTTCATTGCTACCTCTTGATCACCACTCAACTTCCCCTGTCAACAGAATAAAAGATACCCTCTAAATAAGCCAAAGGAAGCAACATAACTGAACCAAAAAGTCAGACAAAGAAAGCAAATTTGCAACCTAAAATCAAAAGGGTCAAGTAAAGAAGCAAAGCAACCTTGTAGACAGGCCCAAATCCACCTTCTCCTAACTTGTTAGCTTCTGAGAAGTTATCAGTAGCAACCAATACATCCTTGAGACTGGAAAAGCTGAGCTGTGTGTCATTATTCTGCCCATCCCCTCCCCCTATTCCATACTTGTTCTTCTCAATCTCAGCCATGTAATTCTTGGCAGCTTTCCGCTTTCTTCTGTTTCTTCTAGTAATAGAAACCAAAGCCACGACGATAACGAGAATAGCAATGCTTCCCACAGCAGCACCAAATCCAATAAGTAATTTTCTCTTCCAGATTGCTTCTGGAACCAAGAGTCCTCATTCTCAAGAGCAGCAAGCCTTGTGTACACAGGCTGGCCTGTAGCGATCGTTCTGCAGCTTCAGAAGATTAAAAAGCTCCCCTGACCAGATCGAACAAAACATTTGCCTGATAAGCATAGCAGTACAAGAGCAGCTATATGAGCAAATGGATTCACACTGCTGAGCACTACCAACTGAATAACTGGAACCCCCAACAGACAACTGGCCGCCTTTATCAGGCAATTCATACCCTTCAACAACCGGTCATTTTTCTTATCACCTCAGAAGTCTCACAACCCAGAGGAAATTTCCTCACACATCCATCAGAATAATCTCGCAGGCTCCATGGCTTGTGGCGATTTCGGTACGAACCCTGTCAAACAACTACAGGGCGGCGAGAAAGCAATGTCGCAGGTCCCGAATGCGCCGCAAAAGGCGAATACTCGGCATTGGTCCCGCGGCTTCCTGCCAAATTAAGGACCATTTGCTGGTAGAATCAACCCAGGAAAATCCCTGTACAATTCCCTTTCTGTCCAAGAGGATGCGAGATTTGGCGCCGCCTGAATGATGATGAACCGTTGTAGGTGAAATACAGCTCCCTGTCGTTCTCCGTATAGGAATTGTTGTTCATCAATTCTGCCCCTGGAATCGTGGTGGCTGAGGTTAGGTTTTTGGAGAGAGTTACGAACTGAATAGTACCTTTGGGGTCCAATTGCAAAGAATAGGCGCCAGGAGCTGGATCTGAAGCGTTGTTCCATGACGCCAGGCTCGTGAATTCGTTGGTGAGCTTGTTCCTCCCGAGCTTGGCCCCCGGAAGAAGCGTGTCCGTTGGATAGTCGAAGCTTTGCCAAAGCGGCGGCGGCGAAGAAGAAGAAGAAGAATCAATTAACACGAAGTTGCCGTTATCGTGGAGTACAGCTTCAAGAGATGGTGGCGATTCCGACGATATGCTGCTAACACTCTCGCTGCCCAATTGGGACACCGGATTCTCTGAAGAGAAGCAGGGTGCCGTTGGAGATGGTTAGCGCCGATGAAGATCGGTCGGGGATGGGAGTGTTTCTGTTTGCGACCCAGACTACAGTTTGCAAGGGGATTTTGCTGTACCAAATCCCTAAGTAGGAGTTGGTGGAGTTGCCCGGAGAGAAGAAACCCAGTTCGAAGACGCCGCCGGCGGAGACGATGGTTTGGTTGCTGAGGAGCGGTTGGTCGGGAGTGACTCTGTCGGCTGCGAGGCAGAGGTGGAAGAGCAAAAACAAAAGGGAAGTCGCGTATTGAAACACAAGGAGCTTTAGTGGAGGATGATCGTCCATTGTAATTTACAGCTAGTCGTGGACGCAGATTGCTGCATCAATTTGCTCATATGGGATTTGCAGGGTGAAGAAGAACGAATGTTTCTGATAAAATTATTGTAGAACTCCATTTTTGACCACTTAGTCCACATGACAGCTCAATTTCTGTAGTCAACTCACGAATTCATATTTTGTATGTTGGCCTTTTGTTTCGGAGCCCTTGGCTGGCCACTAGCGTAGCCAGCCCAGATATCACTATCACAGTAGCCAAACAAGTCTTCCCCCCGCAGCCAGCAATCTTGACTTGCTTGATATGCTCATGGCAAAATTCGCTTCCTGAATCATTTGTTCTTGTCAAGCTACTCGTTAAGATTTAAGAAAATCGCCCCTCTTCTTCCCCTCTCCGTCCCGGCTAAGATTCCGGAACCAACCATGGAATGGAAGTCAGACTCCATCATCTCTGGCTAAACATGTTAGTCATCATCTTCACTTGCTTGTCGCTGAAAACCCATATCTGCCTTGCGGACAGCAACAGGATCACTCAAAACCAATCTCTCTCCGTAAACCAAACCATCGTCTCTGCCGGGAGCGTCTGCGAAATGGGTTTCTTCAAGCCAGGTAACTCAACCAATTACTACCTGGGGATCTGGTACTACAGAGTAACCGTCAGAACCGTAGTTTGGATCGCAAATAGAGAAATGCCCATTTTCAAAAAGTCATCCACCGAGTTGAGGATCTCCGGCTGTTCAGCAGGTTCTAGGTCCCAATTTGGTCCACGGATGCCACCCCGACCACTTCTTCCTCTTCATTAGAAGTTGTACTTCTCAACAATGGAAATCTCGTGTTAAGGGTTTCGTCTTCTGCTTTTGAGAACGATGATGGGATCTTGTGGCAGAGTTTTGATACGTTCTTGCCTGGCACAAAGATCAGGCGCAACAAAATGACAGGTAAGTACACAAACCTTGTCTCATGGAAGCGTATGGATGATCCTGCCCCTGGGATTTTCTCCCTCCAAATAGACCCAAATGGGACGAATTAGTTCGTCATTATCTGGCACATGTCGTCCCCTTATTGGACCAGTGGGCCTTGTGGTCGTATCTTCAGCTTAGTTCCCGAGATGAGACTGAAGTACATCTACAACTTCTCCTTTGTTGACAATGAGAACGAGACCTATTTCACCTATTCTCTGTACAACAACTCCATCCTTTCTCGTTTCGTAACAACAAAGTTGAGTTGGGGGAAAATGAAACCCTAAAGTCTTGGGTGTTTCTCATTCATACTTGGGTTTAAATAGGCAAAAGCTTTGCACTACAAGACAACATGTGCAAGCTAGCATTTGGAGACTACAAAGATAAAAACATTAATTCAAACTAAAGTCTAAACAAACATTGACATTAAACTAATTTGATGATGATGATTTACTCTAAACCTTGTCGATCCACTTTGACATTCATGGTCGCCGGTTTGAGTTTTGACGATAACTTGAAATATCTCCTGATACCCCCCCCCCCCCCCCCGCAAGCGGGTGAGCACAGAATGTGCACACCAAGCTTGGAGAGAATACAGTCTGAACTTGAGAATGTTGCTGCACTGTTGGCGAGCTAACTTCCCTTCAATCTTCAAATGGTGAAGCTGCTCCATCTTGCTAGCTAACTTCCCAAACATCTTCTGAAAAGCTGCTGCATCTGCGGCTAGCTGGCTGAAATCTTCTTCTGCAATTGGTAATACCAGTGCATCTTTGGCTAGTTGGCATCCCATCTTCATCTTCTTCTTCTCTCTTCTTCACCTTCTCTTCTTCTTCAACTCCTCAACCCCCAACTCAGCTTTGTAGCTTGAGTTTCTCCAATTTAACTCGGATAGGTCGCTTCATTTGTAGCTAGCTAGCTTTCCGGTATTCTTCTTCAACTTCTCAACCCCCAACGAGTCTTGATGGTAACATTCAACAGACGTCGTGGTTGGAGTCTAGCGGACAGTGGAATTTGTTTTGGTCGCAACCTAGAGAGTAGTGTGCAGTCCAGGGATATTGTGGCGCTTTCGGTTCTTGCGATGATAGATCTGGGCCTCCTTACTGTCAATGTGTAAAACGGTTCCTTCCCAAGTCCAGGGATGATTACATCTCCAACGTTTATAACGGTAGAGGCATCAGAGAAGCTTATCTGCAGTGTGGGAATCCCTGTGATGGGTTGAAGAGTAGTGATGGGTTCATTACAGGATATGCAGTGAGCATTTCGAGATGGGGTACTCAGGCCTATGAATCAAATGGGAATGTTCAACAATATGAATCGATTTTCTTAAACCGTTGTTCATGTAATGCATATGCTTATGAAGGCAGTAGGTGCTTGATTTGGTCTGGAGATGTGTTTGATATTCATAAAGTCTCTGTTGACCCTGTTGGACTACCTATCTATTTAAGGGTTGCTGTTGAGTTACCAAGTTCTGGTAATAAAAGAAAAGTGTTTGGTGCTGTGTTTGGCTCTCTAGGCTTCGTTGTTGTTATAATCAGCTCAATAGTATTTGCTTGCTTGAGAAGGAAACACATGGACAAGCTAGGTAAACTTCTCTTTGTAGTATTAGTGAAGAAAACTAATTAATGGTTGCCAAAGAATCTTTCAAGTTCTTATGATTAGACAAAATCATTTAAATTATCAGGAAGTAATTATGAGAGCAACTACAAGATTGTGAATGGGGACGAAGAAAACAAAACAAACCTCACATTTTTCACCTTCAAGAATGTATTAGCTGCCATAGACAACTTTTCTGAGTCCAATAAGCTAGGGGAGGGCGGTTTTGGCCCTGTCTATAAGTTATGCTTGTCTATTCTTTACACAATAGTTAATCCTTCTTTACTGTAGTTTTTGTTTACCGTGTTACAATTTTTTCATAGGGAAATCTGCTTCCTCATCATGAAGTATCAATAAAGGGGCTTTCAAAGAAATATGGACAAGTGTTGGAGGATTCACGAATGAGCTAAAGCTCATTGCAAAGCTCCAACATAATTACCTCGTTAGACTCTTGGTTTGTTGCGTTGAAAAGGAGGAGAGGATACTGATATACGAGTGCTTTCCTAATCGAAGCTTGGATAAATTTCTCTTTGGCGAACATACTTCACATTACTGAAGAACTGCAACCATATCTTATTGGTTGTTTGCTAACCCTGATCATCAATTGGTGCATGTTGCTGGTACCCAGGCTCATCTGCGAAATCAAAGTTAGATTGGCCGAAACGAGCAGAGATAATAGAAGGCATAGCTCAAGGACTGTTATACATCCATAAATATTAAAGACTGAAGATCATTCACCGAGACCTCAAGGCAAGCAATGTTTTGCTGGATGCAGCAATGAATCCCAAGATTTCAGACTTTGGAATGGCTAGGATTTTGGGGATCGATCAAGCTGAAGCTAACACCAACTGTATATTTGGAACATAGTATATGCTTACCCCTTCCTTTCGATAATCCTTAAGCAACAAACATTTGACACTTGATTGATTAGTAGTACTAACAACACCTCACATTCTGGTGCAGTGGTTATATGTCTCTTGAATATGCATTCTACAGACAATTCTCGAATAAATCAGACATATTCAGCTTTGGAGTGTTGTTTTTGGAGATAGTGAGTGGGAGGAGGAACACAGAGTTCTACAATCCTTAAGTTCCATTCTCACTTCTTTGTTGGGTGAGCCGATTACTCGCCTTTCTAGTTTTCTAGGGACACCAAAACGTTAACCGAGATATGATAGCTTTTTGATGGATATATATTTATATGTGATGATTGAAGGCATGGGAGATATGCAAAGAAAGGAAACCAAAAGATCTAATTGACTAGCAGCGAAGGGTACATGCATCAATCCTCGTGAAGTATATCCACGTGGGTCTTTGTGTGTGCAAGAAGCTCCCGATGAGAGGCCAACAATGTCGGCAGTATCTCAGATGCTGTCGAACAATCCAGTCATTTCCATCGTGACACGCCAAAACACAACACCAAACTGCGACCAAGTGTAATCGCAGTCCGGGAATGCAGTAACAGGCAAGTTCTATTATCAACCCGGGGTCTAGATCTACTACTTACTCCGTGATGGTTTATTATCTAGAAAACTAATTCGAGTGATTGTTGTTTAAAGCAAAAGCAGTAAGAAAGCAGGAAATGGTTCGGTTTTCTAAAGCAGGAAAGAGTCACTCGGGAATGAGTCCCCCTAGCCCCTTGATTAGGTTCAATTGTAATTCCCCTGGGTTGATTCACTGTTGATTAGACTGCGGAAGATCCGACAGTAGCTTGGACTCTCTTAAGCTGACCAAGCCCTCTCAGTCTAGCTACCCGGCAGACGACTAGTCTTCACCGGGATAGAAAGCTGAAGCAATAAGCACAGAACTCCACTACTGGAATTGAATTCCAGTACAAAGCAGTAAACTGGCTAACTCTCGTATAGCCAATCTCCTACTATCGAATGAAGAGGCTCTAACAACCTAATCAGATTCTATCTATCTCAGGTTGCAGCAGAAATCGAGAAAAGCTGATCAGACTTCAAACAATTCAATAAACATGCATCATTCGATTAAAATCAAACAGTATAATCATCCCAAGTCATTACAATCAAATCCCTAACAGAAGTAACTAGGGTTCTTCATACCAAGTGAAAGAAGGGTTCTACTCCATGGAGAGAGAAGAGAAAACAGTAATCGGAGCAGTCATACTCATAATGATGAGGAAAATCTGCTCCGGGATGATGATTTCCACTCCTATGACGATCTCCAAGCTCGATTCGATGAAACCCAGCTCCAAGATAGCTTATAGGATGTGTTCTTCGTACTTTCTCTCTCTAGGGCTCTGTTTTTGCTCTCAAAATCCGATCCCCTCACTTTTGGCCCGAAATTGGCTGAAAAACCAGAATTTCCCGACTCACACGGGCAGGCCACACGGCCGTGTGACTCACCCAATTCCTCGTGCGAGTCGAAACGCAGCGCATCAATTAGTTCGATCTGCAGGCTTCCCACACGGCCAGGATTGCACGGCCGTGCAGGATTTCCATCCTGCCCGTGTTTGCTCTCGGCGAAAATCACACGACCAGCTCGCTCTTTCACACGGCCATGTGAAAGTTACTTGTGCCCGTGTTTGCTCTCGCACAATCCCACACGGCCTGGTTTGTCAGTTGCACGGCCGTGTGGTGTTTGTGTGTGACCGTGTGGACTCCTTAGCACCTCGCCACGCGCCCGATCTTCGTCCAATCGACCCCAAACTCGCTCCCAGGCCTCCATTCACGTACTAGGACCTGAAATATCATAAACAAGCACAACCTAGCGTGAAATCGGCCTAAAACACGACAAATCACATCTCAAACGGTGTAAGAACAGGGGTAAAAAGATGTGTAATTAACGATCTATCAAACTCCCCCACACTT